TGCTGGGCACTGGGCTAGTTGGAGGGACACTGAGATGCCTAGCACTGTGTCCCTCTCACACTGGTTAGCTTGGCTAGTCTGTATTAAATAGCTCTCTGTAATTTAGTGAGTAAATAAACAGCTCAAACACCGTGTGGGAGGAAGCTAGGGCATGTGTGTGCACTCCCTAATCCAGCCAGTTGGGGCGTAGTGCGGAGTGATGGAAGGCTTCCTGGAAGCAGTGGCAACTGAGTGGAGCCTGAAGTTGGAGCTGGGCAAAGGGAGTAGGAGTGTGTGTGTATGTGTGGGGGTGGGGGTGGGGGGAGGGGGGCAGCCATTCCTAGGAAAGGATATCGATAGGCCAGGAGAGACACCACTCAACCCCAGCCTCAGGTGTGTGAGGGGTGGAAACTGGCCATTCCCTTGTTGCAAAGCAGCAGAAGAGTTCAAACATTAAGCTGGTTTAGGTTGGGCAAGTCACTGCCAACCAGGAGCAGATCAAAATCTCCAGGAGATGGGATTCTTAAAAGAGTATTTGATATTGCCATTGTTTTGATGTGCTTTTAGTTACAAAATTCAGATTCGGCTTTTGACAGGCCCTCAAAGTAGCATGAGAGACCTGTGTATGATTTTTAAGTTTATCAAATAACGACAAGAGTTTAAAGAGGAAACAGAGAAACTGAGTACAAAGAAAAAAATTTTTTGAAGCGGGAGTGGCCAGATTGGGGGAAGTGGTGACTCTGGACAGTTGATGAGGGAGCCTGCCAGGACTCATTTCACTGAGCACCTGCTCTGAGCGATGTACTGGAACACCTGTGTCACATGAGTGAGTTCACAAGGGAAGGGGGGCGGGGGCGGTGGCTTAGCCATGTGCCAATGTACTTGGCAAAAATTATATGGCCAGCAAAGACCTGTTGAGGAATTGAACACATGGATGAATGAATGAACAAGTAAATGAGTGCCCAGATGCACAGGCAGAGATGACTCTATCAGCTGAAAATCCTGGTGCTTCCTCCCTCTGGAGGTCTGTAAAGGTTGAATCACTCAGCCCCAGCTGAAGTCGTTGGCCCATTGGGAGTCACTGCAAAACACAGTAATTAAAACCAGGAGGCTCGCGCGGGCTCCCCCATGTCCTTGAGATAACAAGGAAGAGGAGCCAGGGAGGGGAAGCATTGCCTCGGGGTTGCAGGGAGGACACGGCAAGGCCCCCACTGCGGCGAATGCCTGCAGAGGTTGGGCAAGATCGAAGGCGGAGGCCCAGGGTTGGCCGCTGGACTCTGTGCATAGGTCCTCCCTGGCTGGGGTAACAGCAAGAGAAGCTTCCCCTCCTGCTCTGCATTCCACCTGCCATTCACGCCTTCTCCCTGGGATGAGCAGGGAGGTGCCAGGACCCCACTGCAGGAAGAAACACTCCACCCACAGTGCTCACTGCTTGAGGCTAGCCCTGAGGGAGCTTGGGTGCCTGCTGTCCAGGCTCAGCTGCAGTACAGATGGAGGACAACAATGAGACCGTCCCACTGCATCGGAAAGCTCTGAGAAGCTTATTAAAATGCAGATGCCTAGCAATTGCCCCAGACCTACAGAATCAAGACTCATTCATTCTTTCCATTGAATCGATATTTATTGAACACCTACAAGTACCAGGTACTATTCTCGGTGCTAGAGAGACAGCAATGGACAAAACAAATCTCCCTGTCTTCATGGAACTTACATACTAGTGGAGAGAAAATGTCCAAATAAATAAGGGAAGTAATCAAGTGAGTACAGAATGTCAGGTGGTGATTGGTGCTCTAAAGGAAAACAAGCAAGGAAGGGTGAGGAGTAACAGAGGTAAGGGCTCCCATTTTAAATAGGGTGGCAAGGTGGTATTTGAGCAAAGGCCTGAAGAGGCAAAGGAACAAGATGTGCAGATATCAAGGGGCAAGAGCATTCCAGGTGGTGAGAACAGCAAGTGCAAATGTCCTGGGGCAGCAAAGTGGCTGATCTGAATCTCCATATTTTTAGTGGAGCTCAAACACAAAAGCCTGAGATCACTTTAGCATACTGTAAGCATCTTATACAGGAGTCAGTCCCTGAAAGAGTGAAGCTCGTTTAGGAAATTGCTTAAGAAGCAAGAGAACAGGAACTCAGACTCCTACACCAGGACTGTCTGCAGAGCCTTCAGCCCTGGGTTTCCGAGAGAGAGCTAAAGGTCCAAAGGGCTTGGATGAAGAAAGCAGTAATCAACTGCCCCTTCCCTGTGTTTATGGGAACACAGCCTAATCCCAAAGCAAGGTGCCTGCAGAAGAGGCTACAAGGCACCAGAACACACAGAACCTGTGACAAACGCCTGGGAAGGAAGGCTTAGCAAGGGATTCATTCTGAAAGCTCCGTACTCCTGCTTCACTTACAGTTTTAAACACCAACATCCCTTCCATCCTGCGTTATCTCATTCAAGCTTCCGAACAATCCCCGAGGTAGGAATTATACATCCCAATTTTATAGATAAGGAAAATGGGGTTCACAGAGGTTAAGAACTCACAGCTAGGAAGAAGCTACAAAGAGCTGGAACCGAAAAGCTGGCCTAATGACAAATTCTCTGGTCTTCCCCCCAGAAAAGAGAGAAAGGCACGGCTGCCTCTAAGCAGAGGCTCCATGCCAGCTAGTGTTGTTAATGTTGCTATTTTTATTATTGTCATTTAACTCACTCTTAGGACCACGCAGCTCATATAGCACTTTCACTCCCATTCCCTCAGTTTATCCTCAGTGACTATGGGATGGACAGGGCAGGGCAGGACCTTATGTCCCCACATGGCACATAAAACAAAAAGCAGCCCGACCAGTGTGGCTCAGTGGTTGAGTATTGACCTATGAACCACAGTTTAATTCCTGGTTGGAGCATATGCCTGGGTTGCAGGCTCGATCCCCAGTTGGGGGTATGCAGGTAGCAGCCAAACAATGATTCTCTTTCATCATTGATGTCTGTCTCTCTCTTCCTCTCCCTTCCTCTCTCTGAAAACAATACAGATATATTAAAAACAAAACAAAACAAACACACACAAAAAAACAAGCAAAAGACCAGGAAGTGGTAGACCTGAGACTGGAAACCAAGTCCTGTTATGTTTCATCCTTATTTTACATTTATTTGCATGACTCCCTGATGTCAGGGGTTAGGTCTGGTCCATCATTCCCTCATGTCCTTGGCCCAGCCAGGCACTCTATAAATGCTTGTGAACTGAGCAGAGGCCCGATGTGAGATAAATTGCAGTCCTGTGCTGAGTGAGATGGTGCCAAGAGAAGCAGGCCTAAATGGAGCCTGCCCAGGACATGGCCACAACCGCCCTCACAGAAGTCAGGCAGGACCGGTGCAAAGGATCCTTCAGTTCTCTGCTAAGTAAGGCCAGAGACGGCTCACTTCCTCCAACAGCCAGTCTCAAGTGTCCCTCCTCTTCTCTTGAGAGCTTAGCTCAGGCTGCTCCCAGGGAACCCCTTTACTGGTCCGTCCTGTCCTATTCCCAAGGGGCTCTCCAGCTGGCACCAGACCCCTTCCCACAATGCCCTCCACCCATGCAGAGTCCTGCAAACCAGAGGGTGCTATTGCTCTGCCAGCCTCAGCCCCCATTGCCACACTCCTCATTGCCTCCAGCTGTCTCCCTATTCACCCATCTGATCCTCCCAAAGGGCAGAAAGATGGGCCCTTTCTTCCCAGAGGCAATCCTGGTTTCTGTGCCCAGGATCCATTCTCCTCCCTCCTCACAGGCCCTGCTCCACCCCTTGGCCTCAAGGGACTCAGGTACCCCCATCTCCGGCCAAGGGCCACAGGCACCTGCTCCTCAGACCCATTAAATCACCAGGGCTAAGGGATGGCCACCTGGACTTCTTAAAAGTTCTCCAAGCAATTCTAACCTGCAGTCAGGGTCTCGAGAACAACTTTACTTTCAAACAAGGGAAATACACACAATACAATACAATACAATACAATACAATACAATACAATACAATACAATACAATACAATACAATACAATACAATACAATACCATACAATACAATACCATACAATACCATACTATACCATACACCTGAGCAACACAGACCAGACTATAATAAAAAAGAGCATGTTTCACCCATTATAAGGGTAACTATTGTTTCTTAAAAGTTTTGTTTTAATAGCATGTGCATACAATTGGGTGTGAGTAGGCATGTCATCCTGGGTCATGATATAAATATATTTTTTGCTGTAGATTGTGGTTAATTTTTTAAAATTGTTTTTTAATTAAATTTGTCTGTCTGTATGTGTGTGTATGTAAAACTTCGGCTCCTGATTCTCTTTCACAGTTAAAATCCCTGACAGAAAAGTCCACCTCCATGCCTGCTCTTCACCTTCACCTGGCTTCTACAGCTGCATGCCAAGTCTTGAAAGCTTCTTGCTGAGGTTTGCATGCTCTGCACCTTCCAAACCCACTGGCCTCTTCCCAGACTCTGTGTCCTTCCACCTGTCTGTCGGTTCATTCAAACAGATGACTCTCATTCCTGAAATTCTCTGTCTGTGGAATATGTGTCCTCCAGTTTCTCCTGCTGTGCCTTCCCTGTGTCTCAGCCCTCTTCCTCCTGACTCCTACATGTCTTACACTCAGCATTCTCTCAACTTCTATTTGCTGGTCTTCTCTCTTCTCTTTGCCAACCCTCTCCTCCCAGTCAATGACTTCAATTACTCTGTGTACACAGCTCCAATTCCACGTCCACTGTGGATGTAGTCGGGGTAGAGGTCAGGGCTATTGATCTCATTACACTAGAATGTTGGAGGGAAGAGAGGAAGGTTGGTAAGATATAGCTTGGGGACCAGGCTTCAGTGGGATGCAAAGAGGGCACACCTTATGGAGTGCACCTTCCAGAGCACTGACCACCATGAATCTCTCATCACAGAGGCAACGTCCCAGAGCAGGAGCCGCCACAGAGAGCCTTGAGAAAATGAGAACCCCGCATAGAGGCTGACCCCTCTGCTCAAGGGTCAGCCGCAGAGCGAGGAGCTCGAACACTCACCGTTGCTGCTGTTGTCGTCCACCAGGATGATCTCCTTGAGCAGGTGCGAAGGCGTGCGTTCCATGGCCGAGTGGATGGAGCGCAGAAGCACCGAGAGGGCTTCATTGACAAAGATGAACACGATGCTGACCTCGGGCAGGCTGGCAGGGAATGAGAGGTTGCGGCACCTGGAAAGAAGGAGAACCAGGACCTTACACCTTTCAGGGAATCCTCAGGGGCACCCCAGATGCTGGTCCACCCTATCTCATGGTTCCAGCTTTCCTGGAGGGCTCCGGAGTCCTGATTCTTCCCAGGTCTCTTCTTTGATACAGTGAAGCCAACCCCCAAGTGTGCAGCAGACCAGCTCACACCATTAAAACTGTTTTCCCCACAACAGGATCTGAATGTGTCAATGACTAGCCCAGCTGAATAGCTGCGCCCTTAGCACTTGGTGCAAAGCCTGGACCCAGTAGGTGGTCACTGAGTGTTTACTGGAAGAATGACTCAACATTTCTAAAACCAACGGGAGAGAAAATACAACCAAAGGAAAGTCTCAGTGTTTCCAAAATGGCAGCCAGTGCCTAGGTGAGGCCAGACCTCAGATGCTCTGCCTCAGGAGGGAACCATGCCTCTTCCCAGGGCCTTCTGCTGCCGGAACCCACCCTGGCTCCTCCAGCAGGCATACTGCCTGGGCCTCCCTGCCCTTCCTTCATCACAGGGGTCCGGCCTTCAGAGCCAGGTTGAAGTCAGAGTCTCAACGTGAATGAAGGAGGGATGGAAGGACAAGTCCAGTCTCATTTCACAGATGAGGACACTTTGGCCCAGAGTGGCTGAGTCCCCGCCAGGAGTCAGCTGCCAAGAGAGAATATCTACGCTGGGCTTCTGATATCTACACCAGGGTTCTTTCTTGAAGAAGAAATAATTGTGGGAGAGACTGCCCTTCCCCCCTTGCTTCACTGAAACCCTGAAACCATTTGGAGATCTTTTACCCAAAGGACATGAGGCAAATTCATGAAAGTCTGCACCCCATTCCCCGTGGGAAGAGGAACATGCAACCCTGAAATCAGACGCCATAAAGAGGCCAAACAACCAGAAGTGTCATGGTTGACAGACATGTCCAGTTCCTTCCCTGCAAGCATTGCCTTAGTGGGCAGGGAACCACCGCTGGTGCCCTTCTCTGGCTGAAACTAAACGCCGCCGTTCCAGAGGCACTGAGATCCCATCCTCGGGGGTTGAATGGCAGCCCTGTCCCAGGCCCTGGACTCAGACAGGAGGCTGCCCACTCCCACCACCAACCACTGAGGGCTCCATGGTCAGGGCTGGTGACCGCGTTGCACTGCTCCCATGTGGAGGCACAGCCAGGTTAGAGCGCGCACTAATGAGCATAATAGCACAGGGCTCCTGCTCGTCAGTAATTAACGTGCTGCAGGATAGGCATGGGCCTGCTCTTCCTTAATGAGGAAGTCTGTGGGATAACCAGCACGGAGCAATTCGGAGAAATCACCGTGGGGCCCCCGCCTGCTGAAGAGGAGATTAATAAACTAAAATCGCCGTCTCTATGGTTACCAGAAATTTACAGAAACTTCTCTCATTCTATTTCAAGCTCTTCTTCTCTCTCACCAAAAAGGGATGGAGGAAGGGAAAGAGTGGAGCCTTTTCCCAAATCTGCTTCATACTTAAAATTTTCATAAAACCCTCAGTTTAACAGGTTGGTGTCGAATTCGTTCATTGTTACATTTAATGGAATTAATGTGGACTGGGCTTCTTCCACGAGGCAGTTCTGCACTGAGGATGCAGAGGGGTGTGGATCAAGTACCCGTAACCGTGGAGCTTACACTTTGTCGGGGGAAACAGGTAAACACAGAGGCAAACAAATGACCCAGATTCGTATAAGTGTGGAGATGGAAAGTAACACAGGGTAGGAGGTCAGCATGATGCCCTGGCCACTGTTCTAGAAGAAGGGGTCAGGGATGGGCTCTGTGGGGAGGAGAGATTTGATCAGAAACTTAAATGTCACTCAAGGTGAGCCCTTCAAAGGCCCAGTGGGACAAGGGAACGTGCTGTGACTGGAGACCAGGCCAGGGAGGCAAAACAGCTTCTTTAACTGCGGTGAAGGGACAAAGGAGAGGGGGAGGTGCAGGGAGGGACTTGGGAAGGAGGGAGACTGGAGTGACTCCTTACGCTCATCACACCCTTGTTAAACATTTTTATTGTTGTGAATATGATTTCTATGATAGCAATTAAAAGGTTTGTGGTTAACAGTCAAACAATTCTTCTTGCTTGTGCTTATTTATGACTGTGGAGGCCAGCAGCTGGCCTTTCCGTCGGCGTGGAAACTGAACTAAGCATTAACACACAACCCACTTGCAAATTGCATTTTAAAAATACCATGTACGGTCAAACCACTCCCGTGTGACCTTTATTTTTCTTCTCTGAAAGTGTGATTGGTGAACAGCTCCCAGTAAGGCCAGTATATTGGGCCTGCTCACTGTCCTCCCCGAGAACTCCACCAGCATGAGGACTGAGACCCTAGGTCTGCTTCCCCTTCCGAGGAGGTTTCCCCTGAGTTCTGAGACCTCGAGGGCCAGAGCTCCAGGTGCTCCCAGGTGTTTTCCAGAGTTAGAGGGCAACTGCCTTCCCCTGCTTTCTGCCCTTCTTAATTTTCAACATAACTACTCCGCGTCCCGCTTCCCAGGAGACCACGGTGGATTTCTCCCAGCAATGGCCCTGTCGGTCCTGATGGTTTGAGCCCCAGCGCCTTTGAGGGGGCTCCTGATGGCCTTTCTCCAAGCAGAATGGAAATGTTGTATCCATTTCGCAAGTGAAAGTCTGCTGATCACTATTTTCATATGAAAGTCTCTTTTGAACATAAGGTGTGTGTTTTTTTTTTTTTATATGACAAACATTTGAACATAACAGACACCTAGTCTAGTGCGTCACTTCTCTGTTTACCATCTGTCTCCCTCTACTGTAAGGACCCTCCCTGAGAGCAAGGAGTTTACTTTGCACTGTGTTACCTTCTAAACTTAAACCAGGGGCTGGCACATGGTAAGTTTCTGGAATTGAACAAAACTAACAGGTTTGTTTATTTGTAGAAGGCCTACATTTTACATGCAGGCTACTGATCTCAGCATGTTCCTTCTTCTTAGAAACCTTCTCCTGCAGGAGTCACCACCCCACCCCGCTTCCCCTGCTGAACGTGCGGCTCCCTCAGGTTCAGGCTCAGCAGTCCTCAGTTTCTTTGCACTGTAATTAAGTGACCCCCCCTCCCCTAGCACCCCCCTCCCCCCGCCAAATGTCCTGATCTCCTTAAATCCTTCCCTTCTCTCCTGGGAGCTGCTCAGGGCCCTCCCACCACCTCTGTGCTGGAGTCTGGCACTTGTTTTGTCTAACAACCAGCACTGATCCCCACCGAGTGCTCGGCCTCTCCAGAGATAGTGTGTCCCAATATACTGGTCTTATTGGAAACTGTTCATCACACCTTTAGAAGGAGGGCTAGACCTCTCCAGAATGCCTATCAAGTAGAATAGAAACTGGGGTCTATCTGCCAATGAACACGAGTCACACTTCGGAGATGGCCTCTCCCAGCAACCTGGTCCTCCAGGTCTGGCCATGCACACCCTCTGCTCCCAGGCCCTGCCCTCCTGCCTGCTCTGGGCGTCTTCTCCACACACTGTTTCCCCGAGTGCCTCTCCAGAGAAGGGCCGGGGAGATGAGCTTCAGGGAAGCCACAAAGGTGTGCCTGGTCCCTTCCGGGCGACACTCCTGGAGAAAGCCTGGCTGCATGAGACCAATCCCTTACTCATTTTGAGAAGAGGCACCTTCTCCTATAAAATCAAGCCACAAAAGTTCCCTTTTTACTCTCATTCTTGTTCAAAGTCGAGCCATTTTCCATGAGAAATAAAAACAAGGCATTTCTGAGAGAGGAGTACTATGGCTGTCTAATCAGCGAGAATTGATGGTCATGATAAACTCGACTTTATCGATCTCTGCACCCAGAGGCGGTGTGGGGACGGGAGCAGCGATGTAGGGAGCCTCTCAGCAGAGCCCCCCAAGACTGTTTGAACTATTTAGGAAGCAAGTTTATATCAAGAGCTTCAGTGCCATTACTGCGAGAGGCCGGGAAGCAGTGCAGACAGAATGAGGCCAACCCAGGCTCCTGGTCCCTGGGTATCACCCAGGGCAGCAGCCAGAGGCCTCTCGATTGGATCTCAGAGTCTCTCCTCCCTGACCTCAAGCTCCCCACCCATGGAGCCGCCTGACCTGGGTGGAAGAACGGCTATACCTCTCCAGAATGCGTATCAAGTAGAACATGAGCTGGGGTCTATCTGCCAATGAACATGAGGAACCAGGTCCAACTATGTCAGGGTTCTGGGAGTGGAGGTGGGACCTACCTGAATCAAGCAGTGAGAAGATGATACTCCCACGTACCCACTCCCCCAAGTGCCCCCAGAGAGGCCCTTCCTGTAACTGTGGTCAGCACAGGGGGTCAGGGGCACTGCTAACCACTTGGCCCCAGGATCAGCAGTCCCCTCTTAGCCCTTCAGTCATCGATGTCCACCCCACATTCCCCTTCCACCATCCTACCTGCACCCCCAGGACTTGCTTGATACTCCAGTGACCATGCATGGTACACTTGTAGCTTCTTCCAGACCCTTCCGGATCGCTTTGTTCACCAGGTCCCCCCTGTGCCTCCCACAATGTCCACCCAGAAAGCCCCGGGTGTCTGGATGAATGAAAAAAACTAATAAATACTTGAATGGGGAATGGTAGAATCAATTCAGGCCCATGAAAGCTCTGGGGTTCCCACCATGATCCGATAGAACAGGAATTGCTGCGTTGAACAGTTACTCCTTGCCTGACTGCAACAATAAGAACAGACCATCCAATAAGCCAGAGTTGGGTAAAGCAGAGGATAATGGTGGCAGGGCCTTTGGGGATCGGGCAAGACACCCCCTCTAGCTCAGATGTGGAGGAGATGGTAGACATCTGAGAATGGGGAGTTTTAACAGTCTGTAAAGGAAGAGAAATGGGCCAACTGATCTCGGAACAGAATCCAGCATGGGAATTGCTGACAGGAAAACTACTAAGTAGACGTGATCATCAAGACCTCCAGCTTTCATCCAGAGACAAAAGTTCTGCCCGGCCAGTGTGACTCTGTGGTTGAGCATCGAACCATGAACCAAGA